ACAGGTGCATCTTGGGGGGTTGTTCCTTCCTCACCTCACCCAATGGGACCCCAATGGCATCATCCATTCCACTGCAGCGTTCCTGCCCCGCGGCCACCCTCCTTCGGCACAGTGCTTATGAAGAGGCACACCGTCGGGATACCTGGGCGTCATCCCACTCGCTCAACTTCAGTGAGTGTGTTCTTGCTGGGAAAAGTACCTTCTCCCGTACCTACCCTTCCTAGACAAGCCGCGTACCTTGGCCAGCCCGGGCGAACCCCACTACACCCTCGCATGCCCGCTGTGCTGCGTGCCCTTGGATTTCCATCTCAGTCTGAAGTGCGGTCACCGGTGTGTGTGTTGTTCTGGAAGACTGCGGAAAAAAAAATAAAAAATGAAAAAGGACCTGGCCTGGAACGTATCCGTACATGGCGCACTTAACCCCGGGCGCTAACAGTGCCACATAAGGTAGCCCTGGCCTAGGTAGCTCTACTTTTACTGATTTATTGAGAGAGAGAGAGAGAGAGAGAGAACCCAAGTACTCGGATACGTACCGCGGACAATGCGCCCACTGTGTTATTAGTACGACCGCACACTCCCATCACCCCCTCTTCCCTGCACCGCACCTGTACTTGCCGCTCCCGTTCTCGCTGCTGCTGCTGCTCCAGTTGCTGTTACTCACTGCATTACTGTGCCGTCAATCGCTTGCTGCTTCCAGGCGCCTTGTGACCGCTCACCCCTTACTAGCATCCATTCCATTCTTTCCGCGCCTCGACTTTCTCTGCTGAAGCTGCTCCATAGTCGCAACAAGTACCTACCCTACCTCGTCTGTCTGACTCTTCGACAAATACTCACGATCCGTCCTCCGCCGTGCCTTACCTTACCTTACCTTCTTCCTCCTCTCTCCAACTGCGCGTCTGCACGGGCAGCGACAGCGTCACCGGCACCAACAGCCCCCAACCACGGACCAACCTCTCTCACACGACCACCCCAACACGCACATACACACCACATAAACTCCCGCCGGAAGGACGAGCGTCATCTTCGTCCCATCACTGCCCCTCCTTGCACTACAAAGGGTCCTGTTCTCCAGCCCTGCAAACTCAGCGCCGTCCGTCTGACTTCAAACCTCCCACCCGTTCCTGATCCCTTCGTTTTCGTTCGGATCCCACCTTCGCCCTCAGCGAACAACCACCACTACAACACCATACCTTTCGCCGTCCTCCGCCATGGCTCAGTCCACCGAGCCGCGGAGGCGGTTCGCTCCCGTCCCCATCGAAACCACTTTCGAGTCCGTTAGAAAGAGCTCCCAGCAGCAGCAGGGACAGCAGCAACAACAACATCAGCCCGGTCCAGCACCAGAACCTACTCCCGAACACACCCCGCGAACTCCGTCTCCAAATCCATTCGAGCAGCAGCTTCGCCAGCCCCCGCTCCAACACCATGACGACCACCAGAAGCCGAAGCGCCGCTTCGCCCCCCAGCTGATCGAGACCTCGAGACGAGCCCGAAGAGTGGGAGACACTGGCCCTGCCACTCGACCGACCGACAAGACCGACATTACTCCCTACACGAACCACATCTACCTCCAGCGCACCAAGTCACGAAAGAAGATCGCCGACGGCACCTCTTCCCCTGCCTCCCAGATCATTCAGCGACAGCCCAAGGGCGCAAGGCGAGAGTCAGAAGACGAGAATGCCGGCACCTACATGTTGGAGTGGGCCGCCATGGAGGCCGAGAGACAGATGCAAGAGGCTGCTCTCGCTGCTTTCCCCAACAGTCGTCCTCGTGAGGGTGGCGCTGCCCACTTCTACTTCAGAGAGAGTTCCGGGGACGACAGCACTCCCGAGAGCATCTCGCCCCAGCCAACTGGGACTGCCTCCAAAACCCGTGCCCGTCATGCCAATGCACCCCGGCGGAAATCTTCAGACTTGGGCTACTGGCATAAGCATATGCAGGAGCATGCAGAGAAGCTGGCAGTGGAGAGGGGCGAGCATGTCCCCGTCTTTGACGAGGAGGACGAGGATGATTCGGCCATTGACAGGATGGAGCTCGACAGCCCCCCTGATCCTCTGTGGTTGACCAACACCAGGAATCAGACCGCCGATGCTGGCTCTAAGGGTCCAATTGGCGAGGTCTTGATGCCGCTGATAACCTCTGACCCTGTCTCAGCCAAAGATACGGCGCAGCCAGCGCTCCCCCCACCTGAACCGGTGACGAAGCCCATCGGCGAGACTGGAATGCCATTTGTCCCTTCCACTCCAGCCACCCAACCTGCTGCAGTGCCCATTGCCAAACCTGCCCAGGTCGTCCCCGAGACTGGTTTCCGCAACGCTGGCGGCGGCGGGTTCGGCAGACCCTTTGGAAACTTTGGGTTGCCCGCCGAAACTAGTGAGTTTAGGAGGATGCGCAAGGCCGCGTCGCCGCCAATGTTGGGCAAGGACATCGTCTTCCGCAAGTGCCCCTCACCGAAGCAAACGAAGCTCGAGCCGGATCACCCATTCTCAGAGCTTCCCACCGCCGAAGAGAGAAACAGGGATACCACAGGAGAAGCCGGATTGTGGAGGGGCTACTGTTTCCGAAAGAGCGAAAGCGATCAGGCCATAGTGCCTGCATCTCTTCAGGGACCCAGAATGCTGCATACACCGCTGCCTCCCTCCACACCGGGGGATCCATTCGCTGCAGCTTTTGGCAAGAGCTCTCTCACTGACGAGCCCGGTTCCCACTATGCCTCCGCCACTCTCACCCCAAGCACCGCTGAACACCGCGTTCGGTCGGGTGAGTTTAAGGGTCTTCACATGCTTCATGGCTTGGAAGAACGTCTGAAGCGCGAGAAGGCTCTCGAGGAAAAAATTGCTTCCGAGTTTGACGACACTTTCATTACGCAGGTTTACAACTACTTGTCTCTTGGATATCCAGCCATGGCCCGGTCTTTCGACGAGGAGCTTGCCAAGATTTCCCACATGAGCGTTGATGAGCTGGAGATGGAAGATGCCAAGCAGATGGCATCCGGCCACTTGATGGAGCCAGCTGAGGCCGAGATGGCAGAGGAGAAGAGGTGCCCCCGATGGAAGGCGCTGAAGGCGTACATCTTTGAGTGGGCACGACAACATCCCGACTTGGACAGCCTCGATCCTCTCGCTTGGGGTGTGCGTGAGAGACGAGGCAGTTGGGCAATCTAGACGGCAAATGATGGAAATACAAATCATACAGCGGAGGATTGGCTTAGCGACACAGCATGATCAGATGGAAGAGAAGGGTATCGAGTGCTTTTGCGACAAACACAGCGCGTTATCAACGGCGTTTCAGCACAGTCTTTCATTGCAAGGAGATACATTTTGGTCAGCATTGAGATTTTGGGTGTTTCGATATGGGCGAAAAAATACGCGGTGTTTGAGAAAGTCTAGAACAGCATGAAGAGGTGCATGGCTGCATTCCCAGAGTCCAGACGGCGTCTGTGGGGTAGACAGTGGGGTTTGATGCATTCGAGACCAACAGAGAGGGGCGACTGAGGATCGGTCGACGGCCGGGCGGCTCCGTAGGGCGGAGCGGCGCCGAGCGAGAGGGGAAAAGGCTGCGGACGAGTTGCGCTGCATTGCATGTGCGAGGGTCCTCTTCTTGATGGATTACAGGAAGGATCTAGGTACAGATTGTACACGAGCCCTGCCCAGTAGGGGTATTCGAGTTTTTGGAGCGCGCGCAACAGGATATCTCTGGCGCTCTGATAAGGCAATGTGAATCGAGGGCGGCGGCGGTCGCCTGATTTGACAAACATGATGAGACCATTGGTTCGCTGTGATCTATGTGTTCCAGATAAGCCCGTTTGGCGTGACTATGGCATGGGATATCTTCGGAGCGCCCCTCTCAGCGCCGTGGCATGGCGTAGATTTCGCATCAGAACGAACCAGGCGCCGGACTCGCTTTCGATAGAGGCTGTAAGTCGCTTGTTAGCCCTGAAGGCTGCGTCTGTCACGTCGACATCACGATCTGGCTGAATCAAACGAGGTCGGCCAATAAGGCATGGGACCTAAGACAGCAAGAGATGGCGTTCTGTATCCTGACTGTTTGTGAGCTTCTTCTCGCGGCTTCGACGTTGGAATATATCTTTTACCGTCTGAGTTCGGCATTAGTAACGTTGTGCACAAAAGAGGCCCGGTTTGCTTTCGAGCTGTGTTGAGTGTTGGGACTTGGGCGGACACTTCTCCAACTACAGTTTGGACCGGAAGTCATGACGATGGCGAGAAGAAAAGTAGTAACGACAACAATCGAAATAGCAATAGCAGCCATGATAACATAGAATAGTGAGAATGACCATAGGAAGAGTGAATAACAAGCGGAGATTATCAAATAACTGATGAGTATGCCCTTAACCAGCAGTATCCGCCTAGATCGCGCTGAAGCGGAAGGAGCGAGATTCGTTTTCTCGATGACTCTCTCCTAACGCATCTTTTCTGGCTTCGGCGTCCATAGTGTCTGGTACCTCAAGTTATTCAGGTGAAATTGAACAGCTCTGTTTACCCGATAGAACCAGTCTTTCCGTCTCGTCGTATATGCTCTGGGCGCGAGATTTTGTGAAGCATGATCTGGTCATAGTGGCGCCCCAATTGGCGAACGTGAGGATTATCCAAACGCAAGACAAGACGATTCCGGTCAAGTATAGACCGAAACTTTCTTGAATTCTAAGAAGAACCCCAAGAGTGATATAGAGGAGAACATGTAGACATAAGAGACAAAATGTACCCCTCCCCATGTCTTTCAGAGCAGGTCGCGTCCGCTCAAACGCTAGGATTCTCAGATACTCTTCATATAAAAAGGTTTTGCGGTCCTCAGGGATCTCCTTTGGGTCTTCTACAGGTGTGTAAAGGTATCTCCTGACGTTGTCGAATTCAACATCGTAAGCGTGGCGCGCTTGGTCAGGCTCTGTATCCTTGTCTTCCGCAGCATTTGTATCAACTGAGTTCTTTGCACTTGCCCTGCGTTTTACTCTTTGGTAATCTGAAATGGGTTAGAAATCTTATGCTTCAATCGCCCATGTTCCAACACTTACCGCTGTAGGATTCGCCAGCTGAAAAGAAGGGTAGGAAGAGAAGAAACAATGCCATTAGTTGGCCAAATCCCATCTCACGGGATTCTTTGGTGACATTTGGCGCAGTGAGAAAAGCGAAATCTACTACTTGACTAATGCCATATGACAGGCTGAAGAATATCGCGGGCACGGTGGAAAAGAACGCCTGGTTATACTCGAGAATATCCCAGATCGCCCGAGAGAATCGCATTGGCCGGTGCCACTGTTCCGTCTCCCATAGCTTATCAAATCGATGATTCGCAAGTCTTTTCGCACGATTCTGCCTAGGAGTGAGAAGCCTGGTTTCCCTGGGCCGTCTGGGTAGAAAACGGACTGTCCACGGAAAGACATCAAGGCCGTACCATAAGGAAAGATCGCTGAGTTTGTATATATACCCGGAGCAGATGATCATAAACGCAAAATAGCTTTGGATCATATAAAGAAAGGACATGGGTATGAAGTCGCAACCATGTGGCCGTATTCGGACGCGGTCGGTGAGAAAGGTAGTATGATAGGATGTGTATAGTAGTAGAATAATCACGCAGATCATCCCGGTTATGCGTCCGATCAATACCCATCGGTTCTGAGACCTTAAAGTTGGCGTTAGGACGTCTAGAGTGGCTAAATGAGTGGTCGAAGAGAACCAGGCAAGGCTGTGCGCGACTGAGAATTCATAAGTTGACAGTCGCTCGCGACTGGACAAGGTAGTTATCAAAATCGCTAGCCCAGTCACGAGTTGCTGATCACTGAGCGCGAGTATGAATCGAGTAAAGCATGCTTTACGGTGCTTTCTCAGATTGGTTTGTGTGTCGACGCCATCGCGAACAGCCGAATTGTCGCTATGCTGTATAGAATTTTCACTAAATTTTCCGGAAATTACACCTCTCATTCGACGTTTGAGCTGGTGGTCTTTACCCGTTAACAAGTCGTCATCCATCGCATCGTAGTAGTACGCCAACAAGACGGCCGTGATAGTCATGACAGCACTACCCAGAAAGGCGGCTAATGTCTAGTCATTTACTATTGTCAGAAATTTGATATTTTTCTCTCTGGTGTAGTCATGGTATTGGATCGGTAACACCAGACAATGTATGGGAAAATAAGGTGGTAGAATGGGAGCTTTCTTACGCCGTAGCCAATGATGTCACCGGAGGCATTCTGGGGTTCCATGTACGCGCTGCAATTCCCCATGTTTGTTGAACAAAAGTCTAAGAATGATAAGTTGAGGAAAAGCTACTGGAGTTTTGTAATGTTTGCCCGCTGATGTGGCTACATAGAGCAATGCACCATGCGTCCATTTTACTCCGTAAACGTTCCCAGATGCAAGGTCCTTTCTACAAATCATGCGTAGCTTGCAGTCACCCGTAATTCACCTAATCCGTGGGAGCAGGGCGTAATGTAAGGCTGTTCTCAGCCAGGTTTTGATTCGATCCGGCTCATGCCCCCTGCACCATTCCCAATCGACCTATCAGGCTCCAACGATGTAACAATGCAAAATACATTATTGGCTTGCACACGTCGCTGCATACTGTGATGGTTTGAAATTTGATTGGGCGGGACGACGCATTGAGGCCTTGAGATTCATTAGGCCAGGCAGCAGGAAGCCATCGAACGGGATGTAGGCAATCGGTTCGCCGACCCCTTAGCCTCGATACCATCCTCAGTATCTTGTATTCTTCGGTCTAGCAGCGCCTATCTGTTGATCGCAAACACGAAAGCTTCGAGAGATATGTTCACAATTCAGTATTTACATACTAATCTGAAATGGTCGTTTTGAATCCTTTGACAAGCTTCACTTTGAACCAAGGATTTCTTTGAAAGGTTACCACAGCTGAGGTCTAGTGGTTTGCATGCCTTGTTTGTCTGGGCCGTTTGGGGCTGAGATGCAGCGACTCGTTTGGGCTTACTTGCTGACGCTCCCCACATGATTGGAGGAGACGATGCGTAAGATCATCGTCCTGGGCGGTTGGTCGGCAGAACCCGCGGTAACTCATGTACTTGTGCAAGTTTCATTTATTCCAGCTGCACCCAACTCTCCATTTCAATTCCCAAGCCTTGTTTTCAGTGTCTTCCTCCTACTTCTTAATATTGTTCCCCTTCAAAATTTAAAATGGACCCTTTATCAGTTGCCGCGACTGCATTAGGAGTTATTACGTTCTCCGTTGATGCCATCAGTGCATTGGCTCACCCAGTTACTCTCTTTAATGCCATTGCGAGCATATTGAGAGAATCGAGAACGGGAAATGTTGAATGTTGGACGCGCATTCAATCAATCACTCACCCACATTGGCTACATACGAATATGGGACCACTCGGGTATTGCTCAAAACCAGGTTGCAACGAATAGTCCGTTTCTGTTTCGTATGGACAGGGCCATCGAGAAGGATACTTCCTTAGGATCGCTCGTGGACACTATTCCCTGGCAGGAGAATGGGTCATCTCGAGTCTTCATCCTAGAGGCGCTAGATCCTGACATTGATACACAAGCCGAACATCCCACGCGTTGGCGCCGTGGCAGCATCAACCTTCAGCGTAAAATGTCACCTGACCAACGCTTCTTCCATCGATTTTCTCCGCCTAGCGCGCATACCATGGGATTCACGAGTCTGCTACATAGGAGAACTGCTCATGTTCCTTCGTGGTATCGTCTTTCATCATTCGAGCTATATCCTCTCATGATCGAAAGGGAAGATCACACGGCCGACATTTCATATGTTAGCGTTGAGCGGAGCCTTTGTTTCACGGAGCAAGGCGACCAGTCTCAAGGTACTTGCTCTGTCTTTGTGGAAATATCAAGTTGCAACTCTCACTGATTATATCATAGTATTGATCAACTGCAAAACATCATTTTTGGGAAAGCGCCATCAATCTGACGTTGATTCTTCTACTCAAGATGGATTCCATCCATTCTCGGCGACTGCTTCATTTGCTAAAGTTCTTTTCGAGCTTGACGCCACATACGGCCCATTCAAGACTACACCACATTGGCAGGGTATTTTCAGCCTACAGTATTTTCATGCCAACCTCCTGTTACACGCTCGGTTTGTGGTTGCGTACGAAGAAGCCTATGTGGAAAAGATACAACCTCTGTTCGATCCCCGTCGATCCGATTTCAAGCAGGGGCATCTCAAAGAAATCACCAGACATTCTTGTCATGTACAGGAAGCAAGAAGAGCCGGGGACCATATGATAGACATTGTCAAACACTTGATCAACGTTGCTAGAGAGACAGCAAATGCCACACCAAAGCCGCCAATGGGAGCGAATTTTGCGGAACTGGAACTCGAAATAACTGGCCTTTGCCGTGAGATCAGAGGATCTATCGAACGACTCTCCGTCAGCCTCGAGCATGACCTCAAATTCTTGAGTTTGCGCCGAGAGATGAAACAGACAAGCAGCGTACAACAGCTGACAATCCTCGCAACAATTTTCCTACCTCTTTCCCTATCAGCAGGTGTTCTGAGCATGCAGACACGATTCAAGGATTTGGGAACACTGCTCTATGACTTTTTTGGTGTCGTTGTCCTTTTGGGCGCTCTTGTTGTCCCATTTCTGCTCCTCTTGAGCTTTTTCAAACTTGCTACTGACCACATTTTGGTGGATCTGGACTTGAAAATGGCGGCGAGGCAAAAGGAACTGCCCACAAAGTCGTATCGCTACGTACGCAAGTATCTTCCCCTCGCGTTGTGGATTGCCCTCGCGCTTCTGGCTACTCTCACCCTCGTTTCCTTTATTATTGGTATGTTCCTAGACGTTGACTTGGGTTCCAAGGTACTAGGATATGGGGTGGCTGTTTTCGGTTTTCCTGGGTTGTCTTTGATTTTTCTGTTCTGGATGGTTTTGTTGATTCGGTGGCTGTGGAAGGTGTGGAGACGTAAAAGGGCATCGCGCCAAGGAACGCGACCGCATCCAGGACAACAAGATGAAGAGGTAGGTCACAAGGCGAGCCCTCCGACAAAGGCTACTGCAGGGGTACAATTGGCCGATGTTACTGCAACCGATCAACAGACAATCAGTGCCTTAGAAAACCGGTCTCAGAGTCCCCTAAGACACTCTCAGGATGAACTATGAGGATTATTTAATATGCCAGACCCTGGATATGTCGTAAGGAATCCTTCTGTTTTATTTTATTGGAATTCGGTTTTTCTGTAGCCTCAGTTTATGTCTTTGTTCTCAACACACCTTCCTCACCGTCTCCGGCTCTGTTTGAGAATGGCCAGCCTCACATAGTTTAGTCTTTCTTCACACCGATGAAAAAATCAACACGATGTCATAGTAAAGATACCATCTCCGTGACCCATACATTTCTCACATCACACGGCGGACGAAAGGTTACACCCGCAGACGGTCATCTCCACTGCTCTGTGAAAGCACAAGGAAATGCTATGAGGCGAGAGAAAAAGTGAAATTGATTTTCCACAGAAAAGGCCGCAACAGCATAGGAGAAGACGGAAGTTTTCGCGAAAGAAGCAGATGCCGGCGAAGTGTTCAGATATGCAGCAACAACTTCTCTGTAACGATCCTTCCCAAGTCGGTCGTCCCGTCTGGCATGACATTTGCGGGATATTCGAGCGTCTTTTCCATCTCCTTATTGAAGGCAAAATGATGCAAGTATCTGCTATCCTTGAGAATATGCCCGAGCCGATAATGCATCTCGAGAAACTCGGGACGTGGTAGTGGTAACTTCGAATCGCTTGATGTCAGCCTCATTGTTTCATCGTTGCTAGTGAAGCGTCTTTCTGCGTGGCACCTGAGAGGTGACATCCACTCAAGATGGTATACGTCTGCCTGGTGAAAAGGTGAGCGTTAACGATGCTAGCCTTGTGGCAACTTGGAATCCTCATGAGAACAAAGCCACGTACCTGTTCAGTAGGCCGAAAGACTACATCAAATGTTTCAAAGTAATGGGACAGAGGGCGATCCAGCGTCAGACCGTTTTCGACTCGACTCACCATCTTGAGAGTCTCTGCCTTGTCTTTGACGAACGAAGGAAAGTATCGTTGTAGATTCGACCAAATGACTCTCTTGTTATGTCTTCCGGTGGCTGTATCCTCTTGGTCGTTATCACCCAGCTCCCCGAGGGCGAAGGGAAGGATACGAGCGCATTTTGAACAGGCAACTAACCGCCCATCGTTATCAGGACCTTCACTGACTATGCCGTCCTGTACGCTCTCCAAGTCAGGCCAATTTGTGTAGGCGCATTTGTACCCGTCCCGTCGGAGACACTCTTGTTTCACTGAGTATTGTTGCTCATACGCGTACCATATAGAATCAAGCATCAAGGGTTTGACAGGTGGTGTTTTGGGTTGCTTGCCGCTGGTGAGTCTCACTGTAGTCCTGATGTGTCAGACGAAACATTGACCGGACAGTGGGTCCATCCAGACTCACTCAGTTTCAAAACAGTGTTCCGTAGAGTTGGGCAAGTTCTCGGAGCTTGTCATCATCTGGGCCGATGGTGATCACGTCTTTCATCAAGACTAGCTTCCCATCTTCCGGAAGATGTTTGTGAAATACGCGAAGAAGCCCGACTGTTTTCTCTTGATCAGTCTCGGATATTGGCCTGAATTTGTCCAGAGTTTCTTCCCAGCGTTTGAAGACATCTCCCCAACAAACCGGAAGACATCTCCCCAACAAACCGCGGAAGTTTGTATAGCGTCAATTTCTGCGAGGGGATGGGGGGACAGAGAGCCCAGAGAGTGCAGAGGACTCCTCCAAAAAGGAAGCTCGCCAAGCAGCCATGACATCGTGGCTTCGTGCGGCCAGCATTCGCAATATCTTGGGTAGTTAATAGACTGCTGGGCAGAAACTTTCGTAGAAAACATTTTCATGTACCTCTCACGGTCCTCAGCACCTTTGTAGCCTGTGGGTCATTGTTTGGGGAGCTTCTGGATGCCACATATTCTTTCGTGTTTCATTTCCAATCAATTGCAGTACATTCTGTAATATCAATGAAGTCTTACCGTGATTGATTCTCAATGTACTACGAGAGAATACATTTGTGAAGTTTCTCGGTTTCCACCTACCAAGTGTTTTAGGACATCAAGGTCTTCAACATGGATGTTCAATATTCCAGCCTCAAGGTACTTTAGATGAGTTTTGCCTACTGAGAGGCTATTTCTAGCTATGCGGGCGGATGGTAGACATAGACGACAACAAGGATGACTATTGGATTGGGATATGGATAGGGGTAG